TGGCACCGCCGAGCTCCCGCTCTCCGGTAGGGCCAGGTCGGACCAACCACCTTCACGTTCAAATGGCACCACAGCCGGCTGTCAAAACCACCACATCAAATCAAAGACATTGAAAGACTCAGCACAGAGATTCCAGTCTTCAGTGAACACAGCAAATGCTCCCTTCCGAGTCTCCAGCCTGGAGGAATATCCCCTTAGCCCTCCACGCACTCACAAAAGTGGCAGTGCCAGAGTGAAATTCCCCCCTCGGCTCTTGAGGAAGGAATCTTCCCCCTGGACACATTGATGCTGTAATGCAGCGTGAAGGCCAACCAAGAAATTAAGAAATAGAAACCATAAAGTTTTCACCTCTACTCTGACACTAATCTGCACTTCGGCTTCCCACCAGGTTCAGCTGTAATGCTGCTTACCTATAATACACATTGGCGGGATCAGAAAGGCAAGTGGGAAAATCCTGAAGATAAAAATGGCTTTGTGTCCTAAGTGTTATTTAGTAAAATGTATCCCTTTTCTGCTTGGCATTTAACTTAATTGCATAAAAATAGGCATGGCAATGAAATAGGAGGCACTTCCTTTAACAGCTTGTTACTTAATGACATCAAAGTGCAGCGCCACTGAAATTCATACCCCGCTGCCAGTTAATGAAGGTCTTAACATGAAAGCCCATCCAAAGAGCAAAACCAAGCGGCTGACAGGAACAGGAAGGGTGCAAATATGCTGGGATCTGAGATCACTAGCGCATACACACAGCACAGCAGGCAGTAATGATTATTAATTATTTAAGAGAAGAACATAGGAGCACCAGCATAAGCTGAAAAAATATGCAGAAGCATCACTCTAGGATCCTCCAGTTGGATTAATGTTAATTAGCACAGTACATGAGTCTGAGGGAAAGATCCAAAAGCATCTTATGGTAGCAGGAGCCTAAAATTAAGCCATCATTTGCATCTTTGCAATAGCATGGGCAGAACATCATTTACTCGCCTAGCTCTGCTGCTCTAATTTAGCCGGCTGACTGTACAACAGCATATATCAATTGTACATGGCATGAATTTAGCACCCTGCATTTACTTAGAATAGCTTTTTTAGTAAGACATAGCATGAGGCTTTCTCTACTCTTGGAGAATTCTACATTTATTTTCTTAAAACACTGAGTCCACTTCAGCTTCTGTCCCCATCTTAGTTGGCTGCCATCAAGCTTATCAAGATTTACAGATCTGTTGCTATGAAACAAGGTATCATCTTGCCCCTGTACTACTCACTTCTGTCATCAAAGCACGCGACGGACACTCAAGACAGATCTTTACTCCGAGCTCTGCAATAGGTTTTGTATGTTGTTCTGGTCTTCAGTGACCGCACAGGCCTTCACAAAGCAGAGAGAAGATGCAAGTTCACTGCACTTGCCCAAATTGACTGTGTCACCAAAGATCATCCTACTTGCCCTATACACAAAACAGGAAAAGCTCATCAGCAGCCTCCTTTTCAGATTACATTTACAGTTATGACATTTTGGATTTATGTTTTCTGACTTTTCATAAATTTTGAGGAGGCAAATCTGTCTCGGCCCACAGAATCTTGCAGTAATAATGGCAGTTGATCTCAGTCTTATCTTTGCCCATCTAAATCACATGAGATCTCACCAAGAGCAGAAGGAACACAACATTAAAGAGAGATTCAGTTAAGGACCATTGTAATAACAACTTTGCAAATGCCTGCAGTGCAGAAACCATGAAAAAATCCTGAAATATTTTCAAATCCATAAAAAAAAGTTTCTCCTGAGAACTGCAAGGAAGATTTCCATATTATTGCACAATAAGTTACTGTGATGTGAGAGGTCTGAGAGATTTCATTTACATATTAATGCTTCAGGCAGTTTGGGAAGTGGAAAAAGAGAGTTACTTAGCACCAGTAATGAGCAGAAAGGAAAAGAAGGCAGCTACAGTCCCCATGGACTGTTTTGTTTTCAGTAATTTTAGACTAATAATGTCTTTTAATAAGCTCCTCTCAGCTGTAAAGCTGCAGTCGGTCTTTGTCAGAGAAGATAATACTGTCCCAGACAGCAAAGTAGTTCTAATATCATGGACAAAGAACACCATCTAAATAAAAGCTTCTTAAAAAGAATAGAAAGGAGAAAGGAGTTCCATCTGTGAAAAACATGAATTGTGTTGTCTACACCATGCCTTTTTGTTTCTAAAATAGTAGATTTCAAAAGGATAACTGTTAAAGCAAAATACGTTCTCAAAACATAGTAACTGGTTTATTTTATTCCAGTCTCATTTAGCAATTGGATGAGCTTGCTTATTTACAGGATACCTATGCCCTATCAATGTAATCTAAATTATAACTAATAATACTTATTTTCTGTTTACAGTCTATGTTACAGACTTGCCCTGTAAGTGGCAATGTACTTGGCATTAACACTGCTGTGTGCTAACTACTTTTTAGACAGTATTTCCATTCCTTTCACACAGTTTCACGGCAGGTGCCCCTGACGCTGTTTTGTGGGGTCGGTCTGGGCTAGAAAAAAAGAAAAAAAAAGAAAGAAAGAAAGAAAAAAACCCCAAAAAACTAAGATACATGTGTTGTAGGTGCCATCCTGGTGACCTGAACTGATGTCCCCATACAGCTACACTGTGTAAAAGAACCTGGCAACTAGAAACTTAGTTCCAGGCAAACAGTTTGTTCATAAGGAAATGTAGGAAATGTCAAGCTTTTCACCTGCACCTGTTCAGGGGAAAGAGATACACTGTTAAGTGCTAGCAAGACCACAGAAGTATCGTTTATTACCATCCATACTCTTTTTTTCTCCAGCTAATTGCAAAATGAGATGGGAAAGAGGTACCAATACGAAATACAGTTAAGGAATGCCTTTTCTTCTGTCTGATACCAATAAATCAGCATCCAAATATACGCCAAGAGTAGAGTAACCCCCTAAAACACACTTTTCAAGCTGAAAAAAATTCTCAGTGAAATAAAGGCTTCCGAACACCTCAGATGGAATACTAAGTATTGAATTATATGCGAAGCTGACACTACAGTAAGAATAATATCTCAAATATTGATTGTACTACAGAGAAACACATGCAAATATTTTATAAGCAAATTAAATAAACATCTAGAGCTCCAAGCACTGCCTCTCCACACTGATGTCCCAGTTCATGCTCCAGAACTGGCCTGAACACTCAACAATGTGGGATTTAAAATCCTCTTAAATCCTGGTATTATTCAGAATTTTTAACTTCCCTGTGGAGCACAAATCCTCCTTTCTCCACACACGCCACCACCTCATAATTAGATTGGGCCACACTTGCTCCAAAGAACTTCATTTCATTTACTGTGTAGATCAACCATGTAATGAGACCTTCCTCCTCTTTTCTAATTTCTTTCTACTTGCAAACTATTTCATGCTATCTCTGAAAACTTGCAAAAACCCAACCCAAAACAGTAGCTTGTAGTTATACATCCAGAGGAAGAGTAAGAGGTCACAGAAAGGGCTTCTTATTGCCATTTCCTAGCAATTCCCTGTTGTTTCAATACAGAAGGTTAAATTACTCCAGAAGTCTCCCAACAGGGCTTCCATTGTTTGTCAATCAAGACTGGAATACAATGGCACTTATTCATGTGCAGAGCAAACAAGCTGACAAGGGCCAATGATCAGTATGCAGCCTCATTTTGGATGTTCTGCAAATAATTTGCAAAAAGATGGCATTTTACATAAACTATGTCAATTTTTAAAAGCTGCAATGCATTCCTAGTATAAACTATTTAGTAGGGAGTCCAGATAAATTCAAAATTAAGACAGTTTGAGAGCAACTTTTAAAAAAATCACCCCAAAACCAGCTAATTAATTAGGATTGTTTCTGGAAAAAAAAGTTCTACTTGATACAGCCACATGCAAAAAGATGACATTTTAATAGTTAGAGAAATACACATTTGGAAAAGTTGAAAACAGCTAATTCTTTTCGAAGATAATCATACTAAGGTTTTGTTTTCAGAGTACCACTTAGTGTTTAGCCTCAGAGATTATGTTACTGAGGGACAGAAACACCAGAGTTCCAAAGTGCACTTGAAGTCTGCTTACTTCATATCTTCTGATTAAGAATCCAAGAGGTTTAGTTCTTTTTGTTTGTTTGTTTCAATATCTCAGAAATAGAAAAAAAAACAGTTACAATATGACAGAATTCCAATACTCCTGACAACTGGAGAGATTCAAGCCCCACGCACCTCTTCATTGTTTTGCCTTTTCTACTTCAAAACTCGCTAGAGCAAAGACTTTGTCTCCCGATCCTACAGAAGGAAAGAAAAAAAATCAGCATTTATTAATAAAAATTGTGTCTCAGAGATTTTTACGATAGAACGTAGATGAAAACAATAGCATCAAAAACAACAATGACATACACAAACCACATATACATTTTTAAACTCCAAAAGACTTGAACGTATTACCAAAAATAAAAAAAGAGGGGCCATATATGGGATTGGAGAGGTCTGAAACTACCCACATAGAGAGCTTCTAAAGGAGTACTCTTTTGAACACCTTTCTTGCAACCTCAAAAAAATGAGTATTGGAAGGTACTCAGCATGGTCAGTTTATTTGCACCCTGACCTAGCATTACACATTCCTACCATTCACAGTTCCTTCATGGCAGTTTTAACTGTAATGCTAGATTGAACTGTTGTGCTCATTTAATGCCTCTTATAAATGCATTTTTGGTCTTGTCAACATGATTAGAGCTATCACAATCATGCCAAGAAGAGTGGTTTAAAACTCTATTTTGACAATGGGCCAGTAATTGTAGAAGTCTCTGCAGCCAACAGAGGAAAAGACATTCACTGGATTTGTGTGCTGCATTACTTTTTCTTTCTCACAATGTATCAGAATCTACTTGTAAACAACAACAAAAAGTATATTGAAATGGGATATAATTAAATTTTTGGTTGTATTCTCTCCTTCATAGTGGAATCACAGGCATTTTTAATATATCAGTGTTCAACTTACCAAGGTCCGTGGAGACTCTCTCAAATTGGCTCAGAGCTGCACCAGCATTTGCTGACAAGAAAGCCTCATCATCTGGAGTCAGCTAAATCAAAAGAGCCATAACTGTGAACTTGGTACCTATTCCCACCTCTAAAGACCTACATCAGCACATACAGAAATTAATCAGGTTCGAGGGCTTATACATTTGCCATTTTTAAGTGATGGCTTTACCTAACATACTAAAAGACAACGTAAGAAAAGCAAGCTTTTCCCCCGCCCAGTGAACTTCTTCCTCAATTATGTCCACTGCCACAGAAAAGACAGCAAAAGCAAGATCAGACATGCCTCTAAATTCATCATTTTCAAGCTGACCTCAAGTGGTAATTTTTCATGAGAAGGTCACCATTCACCTCCGTACTAAAACTATGCAAAGGATGTCAACTACATTTTGGTCACATTGTCCACCCAGTTAATAGCTAAGATCAATATTCACTTCACCTGCTGAGGAATGTGACAACATGCAGTCATTAGCAGCTTTGACTATGTTAAAAGTCATAGACCTAGAAATTGTCCTCTCCCTTTATAGTGCTGTGAACCATCACTCACATTTATACATGTATATTTGGCTTTTATGTAGGTGCTCTGATGCCTTGTGATAGATGCCCATAAAATATTTATAACAAAATAGTAACCTACATTTGGAAGATTCAGATTCAAAGTTAAGACTTGCTCATTTAAGTACCTTTAGATGTATATCCTTATTAGAGCAAAGAAGAAATACGTGTGTTAAACTATCTCTGTATCCTAACAGTATCCCTAACAACCCAGTCTCCTTTTTTGGTACCTTCAAGGTACATGCTATGCTTTATAAACAAGCATCTAGCAAGTTAACCTTTTGCAGCATTGTGCAGACAAACATGTAATATTTACCTTCATTTTTCACATTCAAAACAGATGCGAAACTACTGTCTTAGCTGCTGAGAATTTTAAAAGATAAAGTAACTACATGAAAAAGTAGCAAAGTGCTTGTCTGAAATGATCCAAAGAACTCATGCTATGGGATTAGATATTTTTAGACATTCAGTTCACAACCTTAACTAGCCTTTTGAGCTATTTCTTCAAAACATTCTTTTCTTGAACAGTCAGGCAGTAAAAACAGAGAGTATTTGCTAATATCATTTAATGGGAATGTAGCTCCTTTATATATCGCACTTGATATTGTCCATGACATTGCCTCATTTCAGAAAGAAATTTAAGTATAGAGCTCCCTGGTAACCCATTTTCTTTATATTCCATCAACAAAAAAAGAAGTAACTTCCCTTCCTCCCTCTCCTGGCAAAAGCCAGGAATTGTTCTGCACCCTGTGTACTCATTAGGGAAAAATATCAGCAGTTCACCCATCTTTCCAGTTTATTTGTTTTACATCAAAATTAAGAAGTACTTTCCAGAAGTAAGTTAAAGTCCTACATATATCAAAAGTCTTGGATCGCTCCTTACTAGCGGATGGGTTGCAGTTAACCAGGAAAAGATGTGTATTACAGTTTCTATAAGCTGGTACAGTTTGGTGTTATTTATATGTCATACTCAGATGGTCCACCAAAGAGGGCATTTTGAAATAGTAATAGCTTTATTTATTATGGAGCACAAGTCAGATAGTAATGTATGTTTATAAACACATCTGAAAAATACCTCTACATTTTAGTGGTGACCTGTGTAATAAAAGCAAGCTACAGGGCATTGATTTTATCACTTGCCATTCCCTTTCAATAACTTAAAATTCTTCTTCCACATATATGTGGAAGAATGTTGATTTTATCACTTGCCATTCCCTTTCAATAACTTAAAATTCTTCTTCCACATATATGTAAAAATTCCTATTCACATAATTAGCACGCGAACACCTCACCTTCTCACCAAGCTTCCTGAGGGCAGTCAGGATTTCCACTTTCTGCTGTGTGTAGAGGTCTCGTGCCAATTTCCCAACCATCAGGTCTCGGTCCATCTTTATACCAGAAAAAAAGTTGAAGTGTACAAGCTATCCATTAGTCACACAAAGTGACAGCATGACCAGTGCAACGGCC